CTTGTTGCTATGGTTATGCAACAAGTATCAATAATTATATTCAGTTCGAATTATATCAGGACCTTGTTATTTGTTAATAAATATGTTAGAAGCCAAAAACAATGCAAATATTTTCTAGAAAGAAATGTTTATACATGCACTTATTGACTTTTCTGACCTGAAAAGTCAATAAGAAATTCAGGATTTGCCAAGATGTGGAAAAAGTTGTTTTAAGTATTTAGGCTGAGAGAAAACAGATTCCTGGAAACTTTCATATCAGTTCACCGTGAAGTGAGCCCAGGAATCTGTTTCAGCCAAACAACTTGGATTGGTTGAGAACTCTAGACACACATAAAGCAGACAGGCTCTAATATAAATGCACCCTGCACTAAGTGAGAATTTTGGGTTCCTAGAGATGTGTTTGACGATGGACCTTGTGTGAAGCACGTCCGCTAGAAGATCCCTCCACATTGGCCCCAAAAAAACAAGCAAAAACATAGTCTAAAGTGACAATTCCTTTTTGTTATTTGCCTCTACAATACGACAGCTACTCTCTACAATAGTTCTCAAAACTAATTTTACATGGGTTTCAATATACTTTATTTTATTGTGTGAAAGTTTTATCCTGTGGGGATAAGAGAAAATTCACAATGATTTTAAACTACAGTGACTGCAGACAAATGATTGGAGGTGGTGTAGTGCAGAGCCATTACTTTGCTGTTGCAGTATGATGTGTGGTGGGGGATGGAATGTAGGTGGCATGGCTTGGACAGGGCACTGGGCCCCGGTCCCACTGGGACACTGGGGCACTGCACTGCACTGCACCCTACGTCTCTCTCTGAAGTGTGGACTCACAACCAAAATGGTGGAACTGGTCACAGTTTAGGCATTTGTGCTAAAGTACAACTACAACAATAAAAAATCAATTTTAGATGTACTGTTCAAATGTGTTTTGTTATGACTTGTTGAATACAGAGCAAAATTTTATTTTGTATGTTCAGTAGAGAGAAAAATATGATTTCAGTGCTTTACATTTGAACATTGTTTTTTCAAATATAACACAGTTTTTCTGTGAACATTGCCAATGTTCACAGAAAAACATTGGCAAAAAATACACATTAAAATGTACTAACAAAGAATTTTGAGCTATATTATCCACAGATAATATAGGAAATAGTGCCGCTTCACTTTTGGAGTGCAAAAGTGAAGTGCACAGACTGCCATGTGGTCTCTTCCCACCCCTTTCTGTCTGCTGCAGTGAGGTGTACTTGCCTGGGTGCGGGCTCAGCAGAAGTGTGGAAGTAGGACCCAAAGGGGGCGAGGCGAAAGCTGGATTTGGAGAATTGGGACACACTTTGTACTTAAACCCTTCAACATGAATACGCATTTGAAGAACACAAGGGCAGAACGAGGATAGAAGTGCAAGTATTGGAATCGGACCTGTGGATGGGAGATTCAGGACATCTGTGCTGGGTGTTCGATGATTGTGTGCTGGGTGGTGTGACCTGTGGATCCCAGATCTGACTGGCATTTTCCAGCCCAAATTTAAAACCCACCCAACTCCAAAAGGCCAAACTTTAGTCTATTTAAGCTAAAGTTAGTAGTGCCAGGCATAGATAATCATGCATGTCCATCTATATATAAATATATCTGCTTATCGATAACCAATGATAATATCCGTGCCATTTGTTATATTCAAAACATTTCAAATCAAATCAACCAATAAAATGAGTGCAAGAAGACGACATTTTATTAAAATGCACAACTGTTGTGTTTTTCCTCCTTTCTTTTCAGTCTTTGTGCCATAAATCTTGATAAAGAAAAATATATATCTTTATCTTTATCCTTTATCCATAGATCCATAGAACCATATATCTTTCTGTGTCAGAAGATATATGGCCATGTAACTTGATAAAGATAAGCATTTTGTCAGCAAACACAAAAACAAGTTTCATCTTGTTTCTAAAACTTCAACTATAGAACCAATACATAGGTTACTGTCAAAAAAGTATTCTCTCCTTTACCGTTTTTCTTTTTCTTTTTTTGTTGATTTTTTATACAGACAAGTGATTCCTTTTTTTATCAAGCTGGCCTGCCAACTGCCTGGATTTAATAAAGTCAATTTATTGGATTGTGGGGTTTGTCTGAACTGCTAAGATAAGACATGTGAAATAAATGTATAAATAAATTAATAGATATGATAAAGTGTTGCACATATGACATGCACTGGATAGTAGCCACAGATGTACTGGTCAGTCACAGAGGGGATGTTGTCATTCATTAGCCTCATCGGTCCTTCTGACCACCACCAGCAGGCAGGTGAAGTATCTTGCCCAAGAACACAACAACAAAGGCAGACAGAGCAGGGATTGAACCAGCAACCCACCAATTGTGGGATGAACTCCTGCTACTGTCAGCATCACTGCCCATGTATCTAAAATCAATTTCATCCCCCTGCAGGAGGAAAGTCAGGAGGACACTATCATAAATGCATAAAACATTTTCTTTGAGACAATGGTTTTCTGGAGAAAAACCATTCTCCAGAAAACCATTGGAGAATGGATTTCTCCAATGGTTCTTTTTGTTGAAAGCAAAAGAACATGCTTTCAACATGTTCTTTTGTAATGTAGGTGCCAGCAATAGATCGTGCAACTGTTCCCACATTTTAAAGAAGTAATGCAATGGAAATACTAAAGAACTGTTGCAAATCTTCAACCCCATGTTTAACCAAAAAGAGGTTGAGTAAACTATATAAACTATATATTGAGTAAACTATATATATATATATATATATATATATATATATATATATATATATATATATATTAGATTGGCACGAAGCAATGAATTGCTTTATTGCATATAAAGCAATTCATTTCAATTAAATTCTGTTATTTTAAAGTTCAAATTCACAACAAATGTCTTAAAAATTTTGAAAGACAAACCTCTGGGCCAAGACATGACCAATTATATGGAATATGGAATTCACTTTGATTCTAATTTGGTTCACAGAGCTGAATGATGAAGATGAGATGGAAAAAAGGGAAACTCTGACGTTATTAAGGATAAATCTCCAATAAGCAGGACAAGCTTGAAGCCGTTGCTTCATGAATGAAAAAAAAACAGAATATTTGCATGTGAAATGGGACGAGGATGTTCGGATTCCACCTGTGAAACAATAAGCTGAGGCCAAAAGTTTGAATGGTTCAGCTAAAGTCTTTTTCCTAAAATATTAATTACTTAATAATACTAGAACTCCAATTATGTATTGTTAAATCCAACTGTCGTCAGGTTCACATCCTTCTGCAAAATTACGGTTAAATTTTCAGGAAAATTGGCTGATTGCATCAAATATTTGACTTTGCAATAATCCCAAACGCAGCACATATGTGATAACTCTCCACTGTTTTACAAAAATAAAAGACTTTATTTTAGCTCAAAAAAATGAAAGACTTTAGACTTGATGCAGCCTGGTGCCCTCAGACTGCAGACTTGACCTGGACTCCTGGACTGTCACTCAAGTCTCAGTAACAACATTTAACTCATTTCATAAAGAGTGAAAGGAAGCTAATGAGTCAGCTTGAAATAGTCAGTAAAGCAGGCAGGTAAAGTATAATAACCAACCAGTCTTGATTAGCTCACCTTTACACCTAGCTAAGTGAAGGCCTACTTATAATATTGTAAATGCTTCGCAGCATCAGGGACAACTGAGGAGTCTTCACCTAGAAGCCTCATTCAGTTTTCTTCAGAGAAAGTGTTGCTGCACCACTGAGCTCACATACTGCGGTCAAAAGTTTGTGCAGGTTTGTGCTGCACATAATTTTGTTTGTGCCATGATTTAAAAGGTACTAATAAATCTTTCCAGAGGTCAAAAACATTCGTCCTACCCCACATCCACACTCACCCAGACATTTACAAAATTAAACAAATTTAGTATCAATCAACTGTGCAGAAGCCAAATTCACTCAGGTATATTTTAGGCTTGAATATCTTCAGGAGTTTCTGTTAGCACAACTTGAACATAACCTTTTCCAACATTCCATCAGATCATTTTTGAAGTAGAATTTATTTCTAAATTAAATGAGATAAGTGATATTTTGTGCTAATATTATTCAAGTAAAAGTTTTAAAAAAGTACATTGCTGTACTATACTATTACTAAAGGTTTTTTCAAAGAGTTACTCAAGAAATGTAGATAACGTAATTACAGTTATTACCCACCACTGCAGATGACATGTGAAGGTTATGAGAAGGCAGAGTGAGAGCAAATGTATGCCTATGAAAATTACATTGAATGAAGAAAGATTTAAATAAATACCAAGTCGTAAAAAAGCAGTATCACATAAAAACTCTGGTGGAAATGTTGCTTTTGATGGCTACTCAAACTTTTTCTCAATGATGCTGTGATGAAAAAGAAACCTCACAGAACAAGATCATGAGCTCTTAGATCAAACCTGAGTACAACACTCACAATGAGGCTCTGGGATGTTTGAATGCTGAAATGGGAAAATAGGGCATTCACAATGAGGTAAAAGACAGTGGTGAGTTTTTATTTTATTTTATTTTGGAAGATGAGATACATTTATATTTAAAACTTGCCTTCATTTTCTTTGAAGAAATAATAAATACTTTTTCTGTGTTTTTATGAATGTTTTTTCAGTTCCATTTAAGGGATTTTCATTTTAAATGACTTGGCTTGTAATATCAAGAGGTCCACCCTGCCAAACAACTTGCCACTCTTTTGATCCCCTTGTCAAATTTTCTGGATCTGCCACTCATGATGTTTTCTCAATAGATTGATTGAGACCCACTATGCTTGCATTGGACAGCAGTCATGGATTGTATTTTGGAGGCTGTGTTTGGTGTTTTGAGAAGACAAGAGGAAATTTCATCAAAACTGCAAAGTGTGTCACAGTTTACTGATACCACAGAACTTGTTGAGTAATAACTGTCTTTGTTGAGCAGTTTCCCATTTTAGGATCAGAATGACCTAACCCTAACCCTAACCCATACATATAGGCTTAAGCTCCAGGTCTTTGCTTGAGTGTTGAGTGAGTTGCTGCTATCCAACAGCCATGATGCTCCTAACTGCTCTCCTCTGTGGGCTTCTGTCCACATCACAGGTCTAATTAGAGTCTAATTATTTCAAAGCTTTTCTGTAACAATTAGTTGACTCTGTTGAAAAATTGACTTCTACTGAAACCAGAAAACATTTGTGGATTATTTTGTGTTTTATTTGCACTGTCTCAGACTAATTGACTACTTTTTTGCAGCCTTTATTTGTAAAGACTAATGACAATGCTGGTAAGACTTGACTTGTATTTTAGAACATTTGTTCTGAAATATGTTTCTTAAAACATTATCTTTAATTATATTTTAATTCTTGATTAGTTTATATCTTTTGTTGTAATCAGAGCTATTCGTTCCCTTACACGAATCTGTGTTCTGTTTCACAGGCAACAATATTGAAGATGATGACTTCAGTGTCTCCACCCTGCTGGAAAAGGCTAATGCTCACCTGGGTATGCATGTCATCTAGAAGTTATGCTGTAAAAGATTTGAATATAAGCACCTCTACATAACAATACATCAAATCTGCAAGCCTTTATGTCCAATCTGATGACAGAAAGTTCACAGTGATCTTTCCTCTCCTTATATTTGACAGGGAAGAACTTGGATGACCCTCTGGTGATGTTTGGAGACATTGCCGTGCCAACGGGTCTACAGAACGCTGATCCCTGCACTGCTCGAGGCTGCCTGTGGAATAAAGCCCAGGATGGCAACGTCTACATTCCATACAGGATTTCCAACGAGTTCTGTGAGTGGTGTAGCAAGCTCGTCAAAGGTGTGGGAGTGTGAGTGAATTGGGAGTGGATTGTCGCTGTCAATGCTCAAGCAAGAGGAGGGGGAGGGTGTCAGAGATATTGACTTAGTCTATCTCTAAAAGTCTACTGAAACATTATAAAATATATTTCATGTCATGCTGTAACTCAAGAAACTCAAACATCTTAGTTCAAATGCAATAAATATGCTAAGGCCACAGAAGTGTTTATTTGATCATGTTTTATGGTGTTTTTCATAAATCATACTGTTCTATCATTCCTGCTGCTTGCTGCAACATTTTTGATTTGCTGGTTGTGACTGGTTGTTTTCTATCTAAGCGTATGCAGTGTTTGCTGGAAATATTCTAACTGGAAGAAAAAGATCTGTCTGTGATTGGCTGGTGGTTACGTTGGAAGAACAAAACAGGAAGAGCAGGAGTTTGTTAAAGTGGAGAAAGATTTATTTTACAAATATAACAGCATACAGTTTGAAACAGCACACAATCCCAACATGGTTTCATGTATCGAGTACTGTTCCTCCTGCACTATCTTTTAGGAGAGATTGTCTCGAATAACTATTTGAACAAAGTTAGAATCAACAATCCAATTTATTACAGAAAAATATCCATTACAATGTATAATAAGAACAGAGAAATAGTTTCTCTTTTCAGTGCTGGACCACAGCTGTGCATCGATAAGGTAACAAATATGGTGTGGCACCAAAACTCCTATTAGGCGTCTAAACTAAGCTCTGCCCTAAAAGGTCGTTTCCCTGTGATGTCACTTTCTGTCTTCAGCGCTTCAGAAACTGAATTCTGCTTATTTTTCTACTTGTGTAAAGTAACATGTGTATGTGAGTGTGTAGATAATAGAAAACAAGAACTTTTCTGTTACAACACATTTCAACACATTACATTAATAAAAAGCAATCCAGATTAAAGTTATAAAAACTCAGGAAAGTAAAAGCCTTAAACATTTAAACATAATCTGATAACAGTAAGTATGCTGTTTACTCTACTCAATATGAAATGTTCATGATTTTGAGACATATTAATGGAATATGGCTTCGCTCAACTTGGTATCTGCATGTCCAACAGCGAGGAGTCAGGGTCTGAGTTTTCTTTGTCTTACAGTTTTATCTAAACTGATAGCTGATTGTAGCTCAGCAGTAAATGTGTTTGCTTCACATACACAGCCCCTTTGCTTGCATACAGAGTAATGACAACAACACATGTCTTTGCACAATGTTCATTGTTACAGTTACAACAGTAATGTTTCCTGTCATATTTTTTCCAAGCTCAAAGAGAAAGAAACATCATCGTCAGAGGTCTGGAGTCATTTCATGACTCTACTTGCCTCCGCTTCAGGCCCCAGGAAAGGGAAAGAGACTTTGTGGACATTCAGTCTCGCTCTGGGTAACAACCACACAAAAACCAATGCAGTGCTCTCCTACTTCATCAGGTCAGCTGATGTAGTTATGTTGTATCAATCCAGGTGCTGGTCTTTTGTTGGCCGTCGTGGTGGCGGTCAGGTGGTGTCGCTGATGCGCAATGGGTGTGTTTTCCACCAGATCGTCCAGCATGAGCTGCTACATGCTCTGGGCTTCAACCATGAACAGACCCGCTCCGACAGGGACAGCCATGTCCGCATCCTTCTGCAGAACGTCATCCCTGGTGAGCTGCCATACACACTCCTTTATAACTGTGTTCGAATAAACATGGAATAAGAATTTTTTAACTTAACTTGTCTAAATATATCATTCAGAGGAATCATAGAGTTATGTTCCCCGCCTACAGGACAGGAGCATAACTTCAGGAAAATCGAGACCATTAACCTTGGCACTCCCTATGACTACAACTCTGTCATGCACTATGGAAGGTAACGCCTACATTCATCATCCTAACCTGAAAGGTTTTCATCTTGTCTTAGCTTGCTGGTTGGGTTCTTTGTTCAGGGAAATGACAACTTTGTCAAATCAAATATAAGATCTGAATGTCACTTTGGCCCTACAGGAACCTTTGGGGAAGTGGGATTCTTCAGGGGAGGATGTCCCTAAGCTGTTTTTTGTCAACGTATCATCATTTTTATATAATCTTCATAAATTATTTGAACATGGAACCCTCAACAACACATTGAAACTGTTGTTTCTTGGTGATCACTGACTTCATTTTCTTCAGTTTCCTCTGAATACATTTTAGAAGATAGTAGTAGTGAGTGACTTGTGTGCGTGGGACTTGCCACATCTTGGCCTGTCACTCATCTCACACTTTCTCTTAACCTGTTCAAGACTTGTGCTCCAAACATTGCCAGCAGCAGAAAGCCAGACAGTCTTAACAAAGAGCTAGAGTGAGGATAGGAATGTTTTTATGGCTGTCTTCTGAAAGATGGAAAACAATTTATCCAATATTAATTTATTTTATTAATTAATCAATTAGTTAACTAATTTTATTTATTTATTTGTTTGTGTGTTTGTTTGTTTGTCCTCCAACTGCCTGAAGAAATCTAAACCTCCTCAGTACCACACCATTCTTCACTTTAGTTTAGACCTCTAACCTTCATGCTGCACAATAGGAAGCAAGAAGTGATTCAATAAAGTGCCTGAGAAAAGAAATAAAATGTCTGGTTCTATTCTGGCAGGTTTGCCTTCTCTAAGAACAGAGAGCCAACCATTGTTCCCATCCCCAACCCAAATGTAGAGATTGGAAGAGCCACCCAGATGAGTCAGACTGACATCCTCCGGGTGAATCGCCTCTATCAGTGCAGTGAGTATATCTTCCAAACTCTTGCCTTCACCTTTCCTGGACCAAGGGCACAAAATACCAGAGGTCGTTTTTAATACCTAATGAGCCGCTCGGCCCAAATCTTACAAGTTAAAACTGTGGAGTGATCTGTTAGTGATCCTGTCATAAAGCCAGTAGGCTTTGCTATCAGCTTTTACTGATGTCTCTTTTCTTTTTCATTGCAGATTCAAAGGCTCTTAAGAATAAAAAATCTGCATCGGGATTGCAGTTCCTCTGAAAGTTCAAAGTAAGCTCAATGTCTCATTACACAACGTTACCTATAGCATTCTCAGTCACACGCAACATGATATTTTACAATAACTGCACATGAACGGTTCTAAAAATATTCTACAATATTTTACTGATGATACATGGAGGAATATCTATTACAAGTTCATGTTGCATTAACCTACATGTCTTATTTTACCCCTACAGAATCTGTAGATGATGTTAGTTGTTAGTTTCACATACCATATGATTTAAAACAGATGTGTGTGTCCTTGAACTTAGCTTTTAAAATATCCTGGTAACTTTTTTTCGTCGCATTGTTTTCTTTAACCCTACAGGACCAGTAGCAGACATACAGAGGAGGCTGCTTGCTTTTATTGGCTTCTCTGCTGACCTAATAAAAAATTAAAACGACTGAAATATCACTGCTTTTACTACAAATACCCAAGAATGGATGCTTTCCAGCTTGATGCAATGCAAATATTAATAAAACTAGCCAAAGTCAAAGACCTAACTGTCCATTGTGCTTATTTCTTTCACTCAAAATACAACATCAGATTCAGTAATGTTGTCTTCACTATGTGGCCCACAGCAACTCTGACAAACACAGGTGATCAAACACAGGAAACAGTGTCAGTGATAAGTCTCAAGGTGGAACTGATCCGAACGCTCAACTAAAATCTGTGAGAATGTCACATTTGGTACAATTAGAAGTTTAAATAATCACTATCAATAGGTTTTGATAAATTCTAGTTTTTATTTTTTATAGAACTGAAGACTCTTATGTTGAAGTTTGTGCAAACTGTCACAAAATAGGAACTATTTTCTCTCTTTTTTTTACTTGCTCCTACAGCAGACTTATATTATGCTCCAAGAAACAATGTTAAAAGCAAGAGAATGTGGTTTAGGTTGTAATTTTTGGACTAAACTAAGAAAAGAATAAAAGACTTGGTAAAGAACATGCTCTGCAGACTGAAATGGGGAAACATGACGTCTGGTCACAATGAATACAATAATATTTTAATTCGTGAGTATTATAGAAACACAGATATATGACATTGTTTGACAATCATCTATAACATTCCCAGTCATATAGAGGGGAGGGGGCAATTGGGTCACTTGTCAAAGTATGAACAAGAATTTTTTTTTTCAAATAAACATTCTTGTGAAGAAAACATGTCTAATATTAAAGTTACCAAGAAAATTAAAAAAAACATTTTCAATCATTTTTTCTTTGTAAGTGTCCTTGCAGTTCTTGTACGGGCATTTACCATCACATGGCCCATCACCATGCTTTGCCCCAGTTTATGTTCTGGGGCAAAGCAGCCACAGTGCATTATCCAGCCTCCTCCAAGCTTCACAGAAAAGGAGTGGAGTTCTTTTCTTGTTCCTACAGTAAGAAATGAACAAAGAGCAGATGTGTCAAAAAGCTTGTTTTCTCACGTCTTACAAGAAAACATTCTCACAGACGCTTTATGACATCTGTGGTAGTAACTATAAGAAACACCTCAGTTTAACATGTCCATGTAGTTCCATTATCTTCAGTCTTTTCTGAGATTTCATAATTTTTCTCCATGACTTTCATTAGTTCATTTTTAAATTATTCTGTTCAAACACATTTCAATCGCAATGTCTGATATTCATTCGCTAGTTTTCAGTATTTTTATTATTATTTCTTTTGCAGTCAGACACACACAGAGCTGCTGCAGCACACTCAGTCTGGTCATGAACAAATATGGGTTTGTTTCTGGATCACCTGAACATAAACCTGGGTACATGTGGTTCAATAAACATAGAATTTGGTAGACTCTACTAAAAATGCAGCCCATGTTAGAAAAGAAAAACACTTTCTTGCTTCAAATGTGTATGTGATTTATCAGTTTCTTTTTGTTTACCTAAGCCACCAAGTGGCCTGAGCTGGATCTGGGCTGTCAGGGACATGTATTCTGATCAAAATCAATTCTTCTTGTTGCATGTATGAACAAGCAGTCCATTGTGCTGTCTGTACCAAATGTCACCATCTTTTTATGTTGAAAATGTCAAGAAAAAATAATGTAAAACTTATCAGGCTCTAAAGTTTCTGGAAGCCACATGTCAAGTTTTCTTTGTGCTGCTTTCCTGTAAAATGATCCACTGTTACAGAGGAAGCTTATCCACATGTGACAACAGAGAAAACCGCTTCCCACATTGACATTCTCAGTTTAACTACATCTTCTGTTCAACAGAAGACATTCTCTTTCTATTTCTGTAAAGAAATTATTTAACTTAGAAAATTCATTTTTGTGATTATCAAATCTTTAAAATAGGCTCCTTAATACATTCCTGGTGCATGTTCTCTTTTATTCAGTAAGCAGAGGTACTGATGGAAGAAGTGTTGTATTCAAGTTCAGGCTCTGCTTGTGAACATCTACTGTGAAAAAGTAGTGTAGTGTGTTTCTAAAATGCATTTGTGCCAAGTGGAAATCCAATTGCATTAGAACTAAAATAACTTCTGTTGTATAAGTACACCATAAAGGCAGAGAACCTGCTAACTAAGTATGCATACTCTCAACATATTCTTTAAACATTAAATAAATGTTTTCTTTTCACAAGCAAAATGTGTCATTAAATAAGTGTTGTAAACTATTGGGAAATAATCGTTTTACAATGTTTGCTTTAGATTATTTGTTTAATTAGGGAAGTTTAGTTTTGGTTTTACAGCAAAAATACAGTGTTTGGTGAAATTATGTTTTATCCACAGAAACCTTTTGCAACCATATTTTTTATTTGTTTACTTTTTGTTGTTGTTGTGGGGAAACCCATGCATTATCTGCAAGCGGTTTCATTTCCTTTTAATGTGTGCAGGGAACCATAAAAACATAACAGAAATACGAATTGTTTTAATTTTAAACAATCATTAATTTCTATCAGAATGTGTAATCAACTATCTGAAAAAGTGTATAGGTAATATGGTTGAAGACAAATTTTACTCTGAGTGCTCTTAGTGGTCTGACTTTCTCCATCTGTTGGAATGCTATATAATGCAACAAAGTTAGCATTTCAACTTTGTTTTGTTATTCGTTATTTTATTTACTTCTACACATAATTCTGACACATGTAAAGTAATACACATCCCATTACCTTAACGATTTCTGTCTCAAAGCCCAGTGAGAAGACCTTCTCCTCCCACTGCAGGGCGTCCTGCCACTTCTAAACACTAGATGGCGGTAGCACAATTCTTCGATAAAATAATTGCTACTAGTGATCCAAAAGTAAGAAGAGAGTATCCCGTCTACTCAAAAATGGCGGATGCATGCGGACAGGTCCTGCTGGGATCAGGGCTCACCGTCCTGTCTCACCCTGTGATGTACATTAAAGTCCTCATCCAGGTAAGTGGGACATGTCCAGTTGTCGGTCCAACATGGTCTTTCAGTAGAAGCTCCACGTCAGAGCCTGGCGATCCGAAGAGCGAACCGGTTCCTCGAGCTAATAACGCAGCTAAATATGTCTTCTGCAGTTGGAAATGAGCTTCGTCGTGTAAAAGCTGATCTATGAGGATTTAATTAGAAAAAACTAAACTGTTGGTTATGCCTGAAGCTAACATGATGGAAGGTGCCAGGAGAACCTCCAGCTCTGCTCGTGTGGTGTCCGCGTGACCTTCTGTTGTCAAACTCGGTGTTCTCTGCGGAATCCCGGAGACCGTGGGTCGGGTTCGGAGTTCCTCTGCTTCGTTTTGGTTCTGAGGGAACGGAGGGACAGACAAACGATTGAACGGTCGGTAGGACCGTTTGTTTTAGAACAAATCTGCGAACACTGGAGAACTAGCTTTGACAGCTAACCTGGCCGTCGGATTGTCCTGGAGTCCCCCAGCAGGGACTTGTCTGTCAACTAACCAGAGCTGGACTCCGTGAGGAAGAACCGAACCATCCTCACAAGGTCCTAGTGTTTTTGAGGAGCGGACGTAATATTGAAGCAACACGTCAACAGGTTGAGAGTCTAAAAGGAGGAAGTGTGTACCAGCTAATCACAGTCTACTTCCTGTCCGCAGGTCGGACATGAGCCGCTGCCTCCCACTCTGGGCAGGAACCTGTTCGGCCGACAGGTCCAACAGCTTCCGGGTTTGTTTGCGTATGGTAAGCACGTCTACTCCCTTTCACCTTTATTACACTGACTCTGAAGACTTATCAGTATAATTATATAATCATGTGTCTTTGCGCTTATTACAAAGCCTGTGAGTGCTCAGGTGTTTCTCCAGGTGAATTTCTGAATATTTCTGCTCCGAATGTGAGTACAGTGACGTTCTGTCCGGAGGGTTGGATACTGTTTCCCCAGCGCCTCCTCACCGCCCAGGAGGCAAAAGACGCTTCTTAGCCTGTCTCACTTTTGATAAGCACTGCTTATCAATTTTCCTCCAAAATATCATTAATGTTACAAGGTTTAAGATGTGCATCGGGAGCAGATGTGTTCAGTTTTGTAGTACAGCTCTCACACTCTTTCATACTGGTCACCTCATGGCAAAGAACTCTGAGGATCTTAAAAGACGAATTGTTGCACTACATGAAGATGGCCAAGGCTACACGAGGGTTGCTAACACCCTGAAATTGAGCTGCAGCAGTGTCCAAGATGATCAGCGTTTTATAAGAGCAGGGTCCAGTCGGAACAAACCTTGCGTTGCTTGTCCAAAGAAGTTATACAAATGCCATGTGAAAAATTAGCACAGGAGTGCTGTCAGCATTGCTGCAGAGATTAAACAGGTGGAAGGTCCGCCTGTCAGTGGTTAGACCATACATTACATACTACATCAAATTGGTCTGGTGACTCCATGCCCAGGAGAGTTAAGGCAGTTTTAGGAAATAATGATGGCCACTCAAAATAGTGACACTTCAGGAACCTTCACCAAGGGGTGTACTCACTTTTGTTGCTGACGGTTTAGACATGAATAACTGTATATAAGAGTTATTTTCAGGGAATTGATTGATTGATGGATTGATTGATTGATTGATTGATTGATTGATTGATTGATTGATTGATTGATTGATTGATTGATTGCATTTATTGTCATTGAACAGAATTCAACAAAATTTCCATTGCAACTCCCGTGAAAAAAGTTGAATATATACAATACATAAAATAAACTGCACAAAAATAACAATATATACAACTAAAATTAACTAAAAGGTACTCCAACCACACTGAAGAAGAAGGAATGTATGTGTGCGTATATATATTATATGTCTGTATATGTGCATAAATGTGAATATGTGTATATATATATATGTATATGTGTGTGTGTATTTATGTCTGTACATACATGTATATCTCTATCAGCCATGTCACATTCACTCACCTATACAGTTCTCCCTGTGTTAAACTGGGGAACTCATCCTGATGGTTAAAATTCACCCATCAGATCCTGTCCCCCCGTGTAACAGGGGAATCAGTATCTGATGGGGGAATGTGAATCAAAATACCACCTGATCAGCTGCTGAAGCTGGTTCTGCAACGTAACAACTCCATGAGCTGGAGAGAAATTCATGACACAGTTTAGATTTGCAAACCAGCCATTTTATCTCCATTTCACAGCTATTCTCTGCTTCATGTTGCTGTATTATATAAAATTCTCAGAAATTACATTCAAGTTTTTATTCTGATAAATGAGCCTGATCAGAGATCATATTTCAATTAACAGACATATATCCATAATTACTTCCCTCAACATATTGAGTATTAGATGTGGTCCTGTTTTAAGTGCAGCAGGACTATTGCTTAATAAAATGATCAGAAATTAGATTTTCTGTTTATTAAAGTTTACATTTCATAACTTTTAAAGCTCAGTCGTGTTCATGTTTTCACATTAAGGTTTCTGCATCTTTCTGATGGGTTTTCTAATGTATGATAATGTCATTTTCTCTATGTTGCAGCTAAGCACATTATTAAGATAGATGGGAAGACTGGACTTTACAATGGACTTGGTCCCAGGCTGTGTGCCGGAGCCATCGGCACCGTTGTTCACAGCACAGTTCGGCAGGTAGGCCTGAAGACTTTAGCTGCAGTAAAACTCATCCTGGTCATCTGAACCTTAAACTACAGCCTGTCACCATAACAAATTCTGCTGATAAATTGTCTTAGAAGTTAATGCGATATAAAATATTGTTATTTTGAGAGCATTTTTAAATTCTACAATCATAAGGCCAAAATAGTGCAAGAACACATTTTCAAAGATCAATAAACTTTAAATTCAAATGAACACTTAGCACTGGAATACATGTCAGATATCCAAATTTAATAAACAAACAACTGAAAAATAAAATAATTTATAAGGTCTTTGGAAACAATAGTTTTTCAAGAAAAGGCCTCGTTGAGACCACAACACCAGACTGAAGACTTTTTTTATCCAGTTTTTGGTAGAAATTATGAAAAGAGAAACAAAATATTGTGCAAATGGAAATTATTGAGCTAATTTTATCTTATTATGCAACTACTTGATTTATTACTTATTGCGACACACCTAACAGCAATTCAGCCTTTTCTGTTACTCATCTTTTATTCCCTGCTGAAATTACTGATGCCACACTTTACTAGGTTGGAAAATGTGTAATTTTTAATCTTTAGTGGTGTTAATGACATTTCATGTTCTCCTAGATATGTCAGGAAAAGAACTCACCTCAGGTAAGACTGTCCTGCTTTCACTGACTAGCTTTAAATTAACCAAAGACTTATAAGTTGATCTGCAGTGTTGATTATTATGAAGCAGTAATAATAATATTCATTCAAGAATTTATGTTATGCCTCTGATGGTGGCAACATGTTGGAGCAGCTCTATGATCTTTGTTCTTATGTGTCTGGTTTGGATAGTTACTCTGGTTACTCATGCTGTTCAGCTGGAAGGATTTCTGTTCTGACTTCAGACCGTTATTTTGATGTGTAACCATGGCAATAAGGTATGGGTTATACAACTGGGAGTTCAAATTATACCTGAACTCTGACCCCACACCCAGAGGAAGTGAAGAGGAGGCAACTAATGCCATCATCCCGGACATATTTCTGTTTAACATCAACTCTTTCGCCTGGATATTGAGCTGTTAGCATAATATGAAGGTCATGAAACTGAGATACAGTCTTCAGTAAAAGACTTCATCAAATTTGAAGATCCTTCCAGCCCACAGCATCACCATCCACAACCACTCTTTGAAGATACTTGGATGATATGAGTTTTGACATTTTCCCTCTGGGATAAATGAGATGTCATTGAATTAATGTTGCATTCCCAGACACACCCATGCTGTGAGTAGAGGTCACAGTGGTGATAAACCTGGAAGTGAACCAGTTTCAAAGTGCTTCTAATATGCATGAATCCCAGTAGAACATGTGCTATACTTGGATGTTAGCACTTATTGATGATCATATGTCATTACGTATTCTTCCCTGCGTAATAATAATGCTTGGTGTGTTTGTGTGTGTGACATGCAGCTTCCAGGTAGCAAGCCAAAAGCAGATGAGAACTCTCTGAAAAGTGTTGTTGAAGAGGTAAGACTCAGATTGTTCTGTCCAAGTTTTTCATTATTTGAAGAACTACCTTCATTTAGTTTTAATTATAGTTCACCTCAGTTTCCCACATTGATGGTCAAAATATGAAGGAGCCACTCACTGAGAGGCAATCATCTCCATGACAACTCCTCTTGTCTCCACCTCACAACACGTCAGTTGATATGGTCAGGTTGACCGCTGACCAGCAGCAGCGATTCACTCATTTACCATCAGGCAGTTAAAGGACACCCTTCTGGCTGTCACTGTTCATTCCACTTTCCATGCTTCATTCCCTCTGGGTGGAGCTGCTGATTGTACCTGTTGGGCTTTAGTTAAGCAGTGTCACTAAAGCCAAGTTGACACTGGAGAATTTTTTTTGTCACAATTTCCCCATTCCGACAATCTTAAAACATTTGACATTCTAAGATTATGGCTTAATGTAATGGTAACCGATGATCCTGTTATGTGTGGTATATTAAGACTGATCTGGTCCAGTCTGTAGACCATCACAATCGCTTTGATCTAAAATATTCATATTCAACATGTTGGATTGTCTTGGCCTGATTATCGCAGTGTGTTTGGTTGAACCTTGCCTCTGAACATTTTGTTGACTGGGAGTTCAGACTCTACATTAGCTTCTGTAAGGTAATGCTCTAGTTTTAGATTGATTTTTTTTTTAATGTAGCAGTGTAAGCATTGCTACATTTTCAGTAGCAATGTTTACTGTAGTGAAGTTCTCCAGTTATTAGCCTTGTGTTTTTGCCCTGA